TTGTATTTTATTGAAATATAATTATTTATTATATCACTGTAGAGAATAATACAGTCGTTTTTTAAAAACACATACATACGTCATACACAATGACTTTTTCTGATAATCCGACCTTTCTTGCGTTCCGACCATACTGCTAGTCCCGAGGGTGACGGATTAGAGGGGTTCTACTGTATATATTTGAAAATCACATTCAGCAACTTAAACTTATTATTTCGTAAGGTTTTATTATGCAATTTGCAATTTATTTAAATTTTGCAATGGATTGTGTATTTTATTGTCTTTTATTTTGTGATATTGACACTGACATTGATATTGTAAATTTTAAATTGTTATTGTTATTTTTCTGTTTTTTTGTAAGCTTTGTCCATAAAATTGTACAATTTTCAGTGACAATAAACCATATTCCTATTCTATTCTATTCTATACTACCCTTACTGAATATTATTTATATATAAATTTAGTTTGATACCTATTGCTGTTAAAGAATTATTTAAAGTTAAAGTAAAATGGATATCGATACATCATTATGGTTAAAAATAATATAGAAGCACATTAACGGCACTTAACTTGAATCTGGCTACGTTCAACATTTTATATTGTACGCCTACTTAAAAAGGCGAAAGATGTCAAAAGTCACCTGTGACATTATACATTAATTACCATATATTTTTTGCAAATAGCCACAGGAAGTAAAGAATTGAGAAATAAAATTCATAATCTTTCGGTTCTAATTGACTTATTGTATATATAATTTGTCCTACAAACCATCAAAATCCAAGATAAAAGTGCCGTCAACGGATTCATGGGATACTTTTATGTTGTCTATATTATAGTATAGGTAACATATATAACATTAACTAAAAAACTATTGAAACATAACACCTGATAGTAAAAATTAAAAATAAGTAATTAAAAGTAAACTACAACAGAAACTATGAACTTGTGAAGTTGAATATTGTACTAAAATATTAATTACTTTTTGTAAAGTCTTTGTAACATAATTAACATAATAAAATATTGACCGTCCTTGTTAATAATTATGTCATATATTGATTTCATCTCCTAGATAAACCGAGTTCATAATCAATAAAGTGGCAACCGGTATCAATAAGATAGGTAACATACATAAACAGGTACTGAACTAGATACTCATACTGAATCAAGGATTACTGAACAGAGAAAATACTAAAATAATGGATAATGTTAGCAATCAAAGCAGGAGACGGTATATCAAAATGGAATAGGCCAGCAATTGGCTCTCTGAATCTTTGGCACTGCTATCTTTAGTACTTTAAATTAAACTAAAACCCAAATTTTGGGGACTCAAAATGGAGGTAGCATAAAAAAATTTCAAAACCCCCCCTCAACAAATTCTGGGTGCGCCACTGCTCGAATATAAAAAAAGATTAAAGTAAAGAATAAGATCTGATCTGCTATTACGGATATTATCTAGTTGCAATGATTTGCAGATTTATTCTATTGACATTTGTTTTTATGTTATTACTTTCCAAGACCATTCTGGTTCTCTCTTCTGAGAGTATATTTATTAGTATACAGAGCTGTTCTTCATTTTCTGTTATGATCACCATATTATCTGCATACATGTTTATGTTTATCACAATGCCATTGATTCTTGCTCACTCCGTACGTTTTTCTAGTAAAGATCGGATTATATATTCAGCATATACATTAAAAAGAATTGGAGACAGAACACATCCTTGAGGTACTCCTCGTTCAATGTTTACCAATTTAGTGTTAGCATTGTTTGTTTCGAATGCAGCTTGTGTTGTAGAATTTCTATAAATTTTCGATGTAGGACCCGATTAAAACCTTTTTTGTAATCAACAAAACAAGTGTAGAAGTTTGTGTCTTCACCGCGCGCCTTCCATGATTTTTTTTTAGTTGTGGCCAGTGTTACTTCTTGGGTAAGAATTACAAGGTCGAAGTCTACATTAACCTAGGGAATTTGTTATGGTCTGTCAAGCGCAGATAATTTCATTTTCCTTAAGTTTTTCTCTGTTTATCAGAATCAAACTCTATTTCATTATTTTAATAAATTATTATTGACAGATGTTGGATTTTCCGCTGACTTAAGACCTCTTTAATATTCTTGTATGATTTTCAGTCTTTATGCTGAGTCTGTTAGGTCTTCTACTTCTTTACATCTATCTCCTAACCATACGTCTTTAATTCGTTGGTCTATTTGACTGTTAAATTGCTTGTATTTACTTATGTCTTTCAACTATTTGTCTGGGCTTTAACAAATCTAGTATATCATCGGTCATCCAGGGTTTCCTTTTTTATCTACTTTATCTATTGTGTTTTCTACTGCTACATTTATTGTGTTTTAGGAATTGTTCACGTATCTTCGACGAAAAAATGCTTTATTGAAAACAATTATAAATATTGATGACGATTTTTCATGCCCTTCTCTTAAGTTTTTAAACCATGATGGCCTTCTTCTTCCAGAACCACGTTTACCTTGGATCTTTCTATTTATGATAAAATGCAGCAGTTTATATTTTTCAGAGTGCATTATAATGTAACCAAAGTACTCATTTTTTTATTGAATATTCTTCTTCTTAGGGTGGCTGTCCGAATCGAACGTTGGCGATCATTCTGGCTATGATGACTTTGTTGGTTGCTATACGAAATATCTGTGTTGATGTCTTTCAGACATCAGGTAAGCAAGTCAAAATATTCTTCTTCATCCTGCAGCCCTTTTTCCTTCAATTTTACCTTGCAAAATGCATTGGAGTAGCTCATATCTGCCTTGGTTCACATACAGATTAACTTCAGTTATGTTTTCCTTGTTGATGATCATTATCTTGGGTTTGCTGGTATTGATATCCAGTCCATATGTTCTACTTGTTTCCGTTATTTTGTTTTTAGTTTTCCAGCCCTTCTATGGTATTGAAAAACACTATTATATCATCTGCATATTGCAGGTTATTGAGCTTGACTCTATTTATTGAAATGACTTCATCAATATCTTTTAGAGCATCTTCAAAAGTGTGCTCCGAATACAGACTAAACATCAGTGGTGAAATTATGTAAACCTGTCTCACTCCCCTTAAGATTTTGACCTGATCTGTATATTCTCCATCTATTCGGAGCAACGCTGATTGATTCCAATACAGGTTAGCTATTATTTTTAGGTCTCTTCAGTCAATCCCTGTCCTTCTCAGTACTTGCATCATTTGTGCATGCCTGACTTTATCGAAAGCCTTCTTGTAATCAATCAGACATGCAAAAACATCACAGCTGACATCTCTACATTTCTGAAATAATACCTGCACGCTACATAAAGCTTCCCTCATACCAACGACGTTCACATATCCAAACTGATTGGACGCAATTTGTTCCTTGCATTTCCAGTAAATTCTTTTTTGGATAACTTTTAAAAATAGCTTCAGCAGATGGCTCATTACGCTTATAGTCCTATAGTCTTCACAAACTTTTGCTGCTGTTTTTTTTTGGGCAATGGTAGGAATTCCGATTTGAGCCACTTTACAGGTATTTTTTCTGCCTTGTATATTTCATTAAATATTTCAGTTATTATTTTTATTTGTAAAATGTCGCATTGAGCAAGCTCGCCAAGCTTTCGTAAAATTCAAGAAGGTACTGACTTGTTCAGAGTTCGATCTTCAACTGAGACTAAGGTTTACTAAGTGTTACGTATGGTCAGTGCTGCTATATGGCGTAGAGGGCTGGACACTCAAAACGAGGGATATAAACAGATTGGAAGCTTTCGAAATGTGGCTTTATCGCCGTATCCTAAAAATACCATGGACAGCAAAAATCACAAATATAGATGTCCTTAAAAGAATAAACCAAGAACGACAACTTTTTGAAACCATCAAGAAAAGGAAAACGGCGTATCTAGGTCACATCATGCGAAATGAAAAATACCAGTTCCTCCAACTTATAATCGAGGGTAAAATTGAAGGCAAGAGAGGAATGGGACGCAAGAAAATGTCCTGGCTCCGAAACATAAGGCAATGGACAGGGATTAACGACATACAATCTCTGATACATATTGCAAGAAATAGAGAATTAATGGAAAATGTGATCGCTAACATCCATTAGTGGATTTGCATCTGAAGAAGAAGAAGATTTTTATTTGTTCTGCATCTAATAGCTTCAGCAGTTTTGCAGGAATTTCAACAAATCCAGGTATCTTTCCATTCTTCATTTGTCTGGCGGATGACGTTATGTCTTCTGGTAGGATTTCGGGACCTGAATTTTCTTCAATGGTGGGTTCTTGTATTGTTCTTAGGTCGTGGAAAAGTTTCTGTAAGTATTATTGAAGAAACTTTTTATATTTACCGATTATTTTGCTTGGTTCAACAATGTTTATCTCTAAATATCTTATTGTTAGTAGTCGTTTTAGGGTTCATATCACTTCTCCATATAGTAGTACTAGAAAGGTATTACAAGGTGGCATTCTAACTCAAAGGTGAGGACTGAGGTCGTGACTGCAACGTTTCTCAATTTTACAAATGTTATTCAAGCCTGCTACATATTAAGTTGGATTCTATCCCTTGATGTGCCATTAATTTTGACTCTATAGCATTCTACCTCTGACTTGCTAATAATTTCTGTAGGCCAAGATGATTTGGTCATCATTATAGCTCAGAACATGAAGTATGTCGTTAATGTGTCTAGCTATGAACCCATACATGAACGGATCTACAAGATAATAAATGAGACTAGTCTAGAGACAAGACAGTGTCAGAATAGGTAGCTAACAGATCACCTTTGCTGACACTGTATCTCGATAGTTGGACGGAAAACAATATAAAATCCCATAGATGCTTATATTATCAGATTCGTGGTGTTTGAAAGACTATTACTGAAGATCTCTTAGAGAGATCATTGAGGCCTACAAGTTTGTCAGTCAACAAATAAATAAAGATATTGATAAAGAATTTAGAAAAAGTAATTAATGCTCCTGTAACTATATACCAAAAACCATTAAAATAAAAAGCACTTACTTTGCTCCAAACCGTCCACTTTAATTTTGGATACGTCAACATTGGGCTCTACTTTAAACTTAATTGGGGTACTAGGTACCTTTTGTCCTCCGTAGTGAACGGTGAGTTTGTGTGTCCCCGCTAGAACAGTTTCATAATCCACAGTATAGGTTTGATCACCGTGGTCGGTCAGTTTCAGAGGAACTTCTTCTCGGGTGCTTTCGTTGATTAGATGGACATCCAGATCACCGTCGCCAGCTTGTCTGCAATATAAAATATTTCGTAAATATTAAAAAGAACTTTTTTATAAACAGATATTCTTACCTTGCATCGATGTTGAAATGAGTAGGAGTATTTGCTTTGACGCCATCTTGAAGACCAGGTCCGAAACACTGAACTCTAGCAGCGTCTAATGGTTCTTCAACATATACTCTGAACGGAGAGTTTTTCACAGCTACACCTCCATAGTTAACTTGAACCGTATGTCTATTTGAGCTTGTAGGAGTGTATATACCTTCAAATGAGCCGTCATCCTTTTGAATTAACTTTACTTTTACATTATTCAAGTTTGCATCACAGACCTACAAAACAGTTTTTTTAAAAACGAATATTACATATCAGAAAAATATAAAATATGTTAGAAAATATCTTGGACAATGATCTTACCTTTACATCCAAGGGGGCAGGACCAGCTTCCCTAGTATCTATAACAAATTTAGTCGGAGTATTGGTGTGAACTCCACTTGACTGAACACCTGGTCCGCTAACATGGACTTTTTCAGGATAGTAATCTGTATGGGGCAAAATTTGAGCAATATACGGACTACCAGGAATGTCTTCATTGTCACATAGAATATGTACAGCGTATTCACCAGGTGCAGTAGGGTAATATTTAACATCTGCTGAGCCATCGCCATTGTCAAGGCATTCTATTTTAGCTTGTGAAGGACCTTGTATACTAAAGCCTAAAGCTCCTGTTTCTCCATTTGTTTCAACTGTAAAAACAGCTGCGGAGCTGACTAATCCTCCTTTCAACCCCGGTCCATAAGCCTTAATAAGTGTTTCTTTATAGGGTCCCACATTAATTTCAAATGGAGATTTGTATATTTCATTTCCACCAAATTTGATCATAATAACGTATTTTCCTTCTTTTAGGGGACGATAAACGGCTTGATATGTATGCTCATCCAACTTTTTAAGAGTACAGTTTTCATATATACCATCTGGACCTATTATTTGAATTTCTGGAACTCCTTCACCAGCTCCTTCAGTGTGAATCTTAAAGTCGGCTTCATCCTTTACTCTAATGCCATGCGGCTGAAGCCCACGCCCACTTGCTTTGACTTTGCGAGCATCTGATGCTGGGGAAACTCTTACCCCGAACGGACTATTTGGAATGGGTTTACCAGCGAAAAATATATTAACGGAATGTAGACCAAGAAGTGGGGAGACGTAGCCGCAGCGCCATACATCAGGAGCTGTCTGTTGAACCTTAACAGGAACGGTACTCTTATTTTCAGACGGATCTAAGATTATTACTTCAGGAACGCCATTTCCAGCATCTAAAAAACAAGGTTATAATTTAATTTGAGCAATATTTGTAAAACACTATAATATATGCCATATTTAAACATTGAAAATGGACGAAATATTTACTCTAATTAAAAATTCCAATGTCTCTTACATTTAGACCATCAGAAGTGTAGAGGAATAATTGATATTAAACTTATATGTACTTAAGTTGTTATAGAATGACTAACCACCTGGCTATTAGTTTTTGTCTTTGGATATGTTATGTAAGTTACCCTTGCTTTTGAGTGTTACGAATAGCATATGCATGTAACAACCTAATAGAGTGCGTACATAAGTTTTAATACTTTGGCTTCCCAATAAAAACTTGATCATGAGTTTGACATGTGAGCGCGAATAGAAAGTGCTAAAACAGTCTTGCAACGAATGCCAAAAGCTCCTCTTTGTCGTTGGATTATTGGTACCAGTGGTAGAAACCTATATTTTTATTAATATTTCTAAATTATGTTGACACATTAGATGGATTCTAATATTAAAAGGAAGTTACGACTAGTTGAAAATGAGGGTAAAAGGTTTGGTCTGGAATTAAATATAGCAAAGACAAAAACATGATAGTGGAGATAGGCAACACAACAATCATCCTCCTCCTCCTCCTCAATCCTTTAGCCCTTGTCAGGGCGTAGTGACACCCTAAATATTGTTAGTCTGCTGTCTCCATTGACTGCGATCTTGTGCCATATGGACGGCATCATGTAGGGATTTTCCCACCAAACTCTTCATTTGGTCTACCCATCGTATTGGAGATCTTTCTCTTGGTCTTCGGCCTTCTACCTTTCCTTCTACTACCAATAGTTCCATGGTGCCCGTTCTTCTAGCTATGTGGCCGAAGTAAGTTAGGTATGCATGGTTTACTTTTTTTAGTAGCCTGTCTTTTATATGAAGCTCTTCCAGAATTGACAGGTTGGTTCTATGTTCTGTCCAGAACAATCATCCACATATAACTAAAATTGACCGAATTGATTTTGTAAACTCTCACTTATATTTGGGATCACTAATCACAAATACATTATTACTCTAGGAGGAGATGAAACGTATATGTGATATAGATAAGATCGTTGTGGGAAAGATGACCAAAATATGGAAAGACTGCAATATTTCAAAAACCCTAAAATTGAGATTGGTCCACTCATTAATATTTCCAGTACTAATATATGGATGCGAATATTGGACATTACGCCAATCAGAAAGGAGAAAGATAGACGCCACTGAAATGTTCTGCTGAAGAACAATGTTGCCAATTTCATGGACTAACTGTAGAACAAATAATTATATTCTAAAATAACTAAAGACCTGTAAGAGACTCTTCGGCAAAATGCAGGTACAACAATTAAAATATTGTGGACATGTCATGAGGTAAAATCGAAAAATCTAGGGAATTCAACATCCCACTATATATCTGTTTTATAGATTACCGTAAAGCGTTCGACAGTCAAGTGGAGACACTTATGGCGAATACTAAAAGAAGTAGGCGTACCACAACATCTAATTACGCTTATAACCGAACTATATGAACACACTAATGGATCAGTTAAAGTACTTGACACACTTTCGAACGAATTTCATCCAGAACGGGGTGTCAGACAAGGATGTATACTATCTCCACAATTATTCAACATATATGGGGAGTATATTATGCGAAGAGCATTTTAAGGATGGGAAAAGGGCATCTCAATAAATGGTCATAAACTAAACAACCTACGTTTCGAGATGACACAGCCCCTCTTGCAAATAGTCAAGCAGAGCTGATGGAACTTGTACGACTGATCTAAAACGAAAGTCAAATATTTGGTCTGCAATTAAACATATCAAAGACAAAGACCATGATAGTGGATAGACTACACAACAATCATCCACACATAACCACAATTGACCGGTTCGAGGTTGTGAGCTCATACTTATATCTGGGATCATTAATCACAAACACAGGATCATTACAAGAAGAGATTAAACGTAGATGTGATCTAGCAAAAGTTGCCACAGCAAAAATGACCAAAATATGGAAGGACTGTCAAATTTCAAGAGCGATAAAGATGAGGTTGATCAACTGCTTAATATTCCCAATACTGACCTACGTATGTGAATCTTGGACTCTGAGACAATCGGAGAGAAGAAAGATAGACGCCACTGAAATGTTCTGTTGGAGACGAATGTTACGAATTCCTTGGACCGACCGTAGATCAAATAATTCAATTTTAAGAGAGCTAAAAGCTAGTCAACGACTCTCTAGTAAAGTCCATCTCCAACAATTAAAATATTTTGGGCATGTTATGAGAGCAAACACAGAAAACATAGAAAGCCTCATAATACAAGGAAAGGTAGAAGGCCGAAGATCACGAGGAAGATCCCTAACAAGATGGATAGATCAAATTACAGGAATATGCCAAAGACCTATGCATGAATTAAAAGAAATGACTAGAGACAGAGATCTCTGGAGACGGACAATACACGACATCACGTCGACCACTACACTTCCCCTGGGGGATCAGGATTGAAGAGAGAGGGTCATGAGGTTAGACATAGACATTATGAAGAGACTCATCATTCAAAGGATGGTAGAAGGCCGAAGACCACGAGAAGATCTCCAACGAGACCAGAGAAAGTGATCAGATCACAGGAAGTTGCAAAAGACCTATATAGATGATGTAACAGAAATGACTAGACACTGAAATATATGGAGACGAACCACATACGATATCACGACTACCACTAAACTCCCTCCAGAGGGTCAAGACTGATGAGAGAAGCTTTCGATATGTAAATATTTTAACGAATGCTTAATGTCTGAGATACAGAACGCAGTAGTACTGAAATGTAAATAAGAAAGATGATGAAAACCGATAGAAAACTGGTCTGAGCAGTATTAAAATATGTAAAGTACATATGTAAAGGACATATTTACCAAGAAGAGAAATACAACCAACTACGTTACATAATGAAGTGCTCCTCTATTATGTAGCGTAACGGAAAAAAGATGCTCCTAGTTAAAAAATATAACAGAATAGATAACAAATTTTGATAGTTTTCCAGCAAACATATGATTTCATAAAAAAAAGCAAATTGTGGATAGCAATGTTAGAAATGGGAATACCAAGAAAATTAGTTGAATTAACACAATATCACAAATAGAGAGGAACTATAAAGAAAAAGTAGATACTTAACTTTTGACTAACTGTCGAACCTTTCTTTTGAGCTCCTAAAGAAGCGAAACGTTAAATAGTACTCTAAAATAGGTAAGAAAATAATCGATGAAGTATTTTAAATCCTCTAAACCTTTGCGTAATCGGACTTTTTGTAGAATTTTACTCATTAAGATAACTCATTAAATTGATACTTACTTTTGGTGAAAATATCAAAATAAGTAGGTCTGTTTGGATGAACACCATCATGCAGCAGTCCAGGCCCAGAGGCTGTAACTTTGGAGGCGTCTCCTGCAAATCCCTCCACTTTAACATGGTAAGGGCTCTTTGGTGAATTCCTCCCTGAGAAAAGAACGTATATTGTATGGGTCCCTTCCATCTGTGGTTGATATGAAACTGTGTACGTCAAGTTCTTATCATTATTAAATTTAACATCTGCGGGTTCTCTCTGTCCCCGTGGATTCTCAACGATTACTTCTACGTCAGCACGTCCTGCGGAGAAGGTTTCAACAGTGAAAATAGCTGGAGCACCCACTACTGGGCCAGTGGGTTCGATACCTGGGCCATAGACTCGTACCCTATAAATAAAAACAGAATGAATGAAATCATTTTGTCTCGCAATATATTACTAATATTTTCATAAAATCAGACCAATTTCAAATACTGCATATTAACAGGAATATAGACAACCAACCAACTTCTACTCTTTAACTAGCTAAAACGAAGAGTTTCATCGAAGCAGCAGTGACACCATAGGTGATCACAACAAACTAGAAACTGAAGCATTACAAAAAATAAAAAAGTTGGACCAAATGAATATGGATGGAGACATATGAACAATGTTAAGACAAAATGAACAAGTTAGCTAAAGTTATATGTTATGCATGACATCATCGAGCAAAATGACAAAAGAGGGAATCTCATCGTTATGAAAAGGAGACCAAAAAAGTGGTCTCTGATGGTGGACATATCCGGAAATGCGAATATTAACGATAACAGTCTAAAATGTGAAACAATTGTTAAAAAACTTAAATACAAATAAGATTTCATGTGACAGTTGCGACAAACAATAACATAACCCAACTAAATTTGATTTCTTAAACAAGGAAAGACTCTCTTTCCTTGTTTAATTTGGCCTCTCAAGATGGCACTTCCTGTCTAACAATATTTTTGCCCCCACTACCTTTACATTCCCTCTTTTGTCTTTTTGCTCGATGCATGACATAGAAGGACAAGTGTTCTGTATTGTATCAGAAAAATTTCAATGAAACTTAAAGGACTTCTACAATGAATTATGTTTTTAATAACGAAGATAAGGAAGTCTGGGTTAAAATTATTCATTGTATTTTAAATCCATTTTATATTAAATAATGATAAACCGTAACACAATTATTATTTGGTGTAAGTTTCATTATTGTCAACTTTACAATCTTCTATTCATAGATAGCACTAATGTCCTCATTAAATTTCATAAAATAAATAAATATAACTTGTTTTCATTCTTCTAAGTGCAGTGCGAATGCTGCTAGGAAATGCTGTCTCTGAGATAATCTACTAGCATCTCATCTTTTTACCCTGTGGAGATCTTCTGCTCTCTTGAACGAGCCAACTGTGCTACAGAGTGAATATGATCCCATCTTTGTTTGATTTTCCATATGCACATATGGCTGACGTTAAAATTTGCAGAAGCTTGCCTTAGTGACCAACTTTCTTCGAGTTTGACAATTGCTCTTGTTTTTTGAGCGTCATTCAAACGCATTCTAGACATTTTGGACGCGTTTATTGACAAACACTTTGACATTTAGCAAATCTATATGACACTGCGATTTTACAGTAGGTGCCGTTGGCATATGAAGGTGCCCACTAGTCAGAGACCGCAGCTGTACATAATTGAACGTTGAGTAAATAAAAAGAAAAAAGAAAAGTGAATGCATATTTCAGAAATGAAAATAGGTAGGTACTTATATGGATGAGTTGAGTGACAAAAAATAATAAAACTAAGAATTTATTTATTACTTAAACCCTAAAGTTTAAATATGAAGACTAAATATGGCACTGGTTTCGAAATAAGAGAGTACATGTTTAGGTGATTAGGATACATTGAACGCTGAAATGAAAATTAAGAATGGCAAAGTCCTACAAGAAGTAGAAGAGGGAGTCCACCAAAGACAGGATTGAAGACAATTAGAGGGGACCTAAGCATCTCCCGTAAAGGTAATAATATTGAGGGGGTCCAAAAGTTAAACATACGGAGAAATGTAATTAGGAAAGTCAAAGTAACAGGGGATATATTCAAACAGAATTATTATGACAGTGCGTTTCATTGGCATAAAAATAATCATATTTTTATTGAGTATTTTTAGATGAAATGATGGTTGTCTACATTCAGGCAATATGGTTCATGGTCGTCTGATAATACTATAATATTATATTTTTATGTAGGCATTAAACAAAAACCATTATATATTCCATAGATATTCTAAGGGAATCTTGATTAACTTTTAATTAAATGCATAGCATATTTATAAATGGGAGAATATGATAAAATATGATTGCTTATTTTTAGAGATTGGATTCTCTAAGAATATAATCTTCTATGTAGTTGACAGGACCACGCTATACAGCCATTACTTCTTTATCTAAGATAAAGATAAAGACAAGAGTGGACTTCGAACAGGGAGTGATTTAATTGAAACGGTTTCCATTCACTGACGAACGTAGGAGATTTCTTTATTTATGCAAAATGAAATTTAAGCGCGATATGAATTTTCAATTGATCTTGATGCTTTAGACGATTTAAGAAGTACTTACTTATTTACATTTGTTCTAGGTCTCAACGGTGCACCAGGTTTGAGCTTGGCGTTAGGATACTGCGACAAATATGTCATCATGGATTGTTCGTCAATATTTGGGTTGACTATTTCTTCAGGCTTAATAAGTTGGGGAACGTTTAGCCAATCATCGGCGAGATTCATAGCCTCGGAGGCATTTTTCACTCCTTCTCGGTTATCCCAGTCCTAAAATTTATAAAGAAGTATTTGTTTCTTTTGTTCTTTTTGATTGTATAAAAAGAAGTTAAAAAGAAAAATGAACTATTTAAAAGATATATTGCATTGTATTTGTTAGTCTTTAACCCTTTCACTGCGCATGGCACGGATCCGTGCCAGGCTGAGTTTTCAGACAGTGCGAGTGGCACGGATCCATGACACATACACATTATCACTTTCCTTGCCAGTAGGAACTGAGCGCTAGTTCAAGGTAGAGGTACGTTGATGAGAGTGTAGCGTACATATCAGGACTTCTAAAAAGTTCGTTCATTTCGGATTTTGTTTTTCGTAGATAGAGTACTATGGATGATAGTAATCGGATGATTTTAAGGCCGTCGGGCATTAAAAAACGTAAATTAGTGTGTAAAAATCCTAAAAAACTCACTGATAAGGAACTATTACAACTATTAGAAGAATCGAGTGATGATGAAACATATTTTAGTGATGACAATGACAATTTTGAACTCGTCGATGAGTCAAGTAATGACGAGTTAGACAGTGATGGAGTAGATGATGGCGACAATGTATCAGGATTACATTTCATATTTATTTGGGTAGTAAAATTCATAATGTTGTTTAGTTCTAAAAGTGGCCACTGTAGTATTATATATGTAGTTTTCAAAAATAGTTTTAATTAGGTTTACAAAAACTTAATTTAAATTTTGTTACAGGAGCAGTTTTGTCGACTACACAAGGACAACATTAAGTTCCCGTTGTTACAGATCTGGCTGCAGCTGCGAATCCTGCTGTAGATACAACTCTTGCTAAAACCACAGTAAGTATCATTTCAAAGTGGTCGGAAGTTCCTATGCGTATGTTAGATATTCCATTTTCTAAAACTAACGAGCGATTACAAGCAATACCAGGAAATGAACCCATAGACTACTTCAGAGCAATACTTGACCAAATTGTAGGCCACATAGTAGAAGAAACTAATACTCACACAGATGCTGTTTTCCTGTCTCACGGTGCTTTGGAAAAATCTCGAATTAGTAGCTGGAAGAATGTAACTTTTCAAGAAATGTCAACATTTATTGGAATAGTGTTACACACAGGTACAATACGGTTGAATCATTTCCAAGATTATTGGAAAAGCCACCCATTATTTAATTTGAATTGTTTTTCACAGCACATAGGTCGTGATCGATTTTTGCTGATAATGAGTGTTTACATTTTAATGGATACATACCCGGACAAGCAGCCCAGGATCGATTATATAAAATAAGGCCAATTATAGATCTTTTTAACAAGATGTCTGCCCTCTACTACCCTGGGAAAAATCTATCACTGGTCATATCCATGGTGCTATGGCAGGTCGTTTGGTGTTTAGGCAGTATGTAAAGAACAAACGCCATAAGTACGGAATTAAATTATATATGTTAACAGAACCGGGTGGCACAATTCTAAAAACTTTGGTATATACCGGGGCTTTGGATCATATTGCAGGAAAAGGTCATACTACAAAGGTGGTTTTGGAACTTCTGAAAAACTATTTAGATGCTGGCCATTCTATATACTTAGACAATTTCGATAACCCTTTTGTCCTATGCAACCAACTAAGTAAGCGCAAGACTTACTGCACTGGAACGCTAAAATCAGAAAGAATTAATGATCCCACGAAAGATATTTTTAACCCTCCGTTAGTCGCTATCGGTCTCACACACCGACGACAAAATTATTCATTCGGGATTTACAAATAACTGTTATTTTTCTATCGCCACTTTCTGTACCTCTCCCTATCAACCAAACTCGTGTTAGTGTACATTCTTACATTCCTGGGTACAGTTGTGTGAGTTTTATAGTTATTTTCGGTGCCAGAGTCCGTAGCGACTAACGGTGTAGCTATTATTTATTGCAGAACTTGCAGAACAGGTAAATATTTATCATCTTATTATTACATTTTATCGGTAAGTTTTTGTCAATTCTTATTCATAGATGTCCTTTGAAGCCAAACAACTTTGATTCCAACGCTTGTTGGAATTATGGACATGATTCCTACCGACGATGAAAATTATTTTGACGATGAGAAAAGTGAAAGCGAAATAGATCAAATTGAGGTGATGATGGTGGAAATGAATCGGAACAAGATGTGACAGATGAGAAAAAAGAAAGTGGAAGTAATACCTTAGCGTTTATTGGAAAATATAGCGTTACTAGATGAAAAAAGGGTATTCCACCGTAAAATGTTAGAACAAGATAAGAAAATTATATAGTACGTAATACAAACTAATGTTTGTATTTTGAGAACGATATCCGATGTGAAAATTAAAACATCAATAAACTTACTTTAACCTTTAATTGTGGCTTATTCCCATTTAAACAGTAATTACTTTACAATGCCACAAGAAAATAGCTTCAGAACAATATTCACAATATATTGTTATGTTAGTGTTTTTCATTTTGTATCTGTTTTTTTTTTCAATAAAATATTTTCAAAACTATTTTTTAGTTATTCCTATAAACAATATAAAATATTTGTATGAATTTTATATTAAAAACAATCTTTTTTAATTGTCGGTCTCAGACACCGTAGCGACTCTTGATGCTCAGTTTTTCCTAGCGACTAACGGAGGGTTAAAAAACTTAAAAAAAGTGAAACATGTGCAGTGTGTTCTATATTTTTCTAATGAACATGAACATGAAAACGAAATGGTCGAGTTTGCAGATATGAGACATTGTACCAAAACAACACCTAAACCGATTTTTTATTACAATAAGCAGACGGGTGGAGTAGACCACCAGGACCAAATGAATGCATATTATCCCTGTGACAGAAAAACATTAAGGTGGTACAAAAAATTAGATATCCATTTCATACAACTTATGCTCCTTAATGCCTTTTTCCTCTTTAAAAAATATTCAGGTAAAACCATGAGTCTTTATGATTTCCGACTAGCTGTCATATCAAAACTTATACCCAATACTAAAGCTGTCCAAAGCAATAACCCAACATCACATAAACTGACAAAAATTACATCTGTGAACAAAAAAGGTGAAACAAACAGAAAACGTTGTAGATTTTGTTCCCAAAAGAAAATTCGGAAAATGACATTGTACCGTTGTGAAGGATGTCCTGAACAACCTGGATATTGTGTGGGAGATTACTTTGATGTTACCCATAAATAACATTTTTACTATTTTTGTTTTAGATTGTTCTGTTTCGTTTTATGTTTATTGGAAAAATGATTATCTTTTTATTGTATTAGTTTATTTTATTTTGTACTTTGTTGCAACACAAATATTTTCCTGTTTTTGTTATTTTATTGGGAAAAGTGCTATTCTTGTACTATTTTTATTTTAATCTTAGAGTTCAAATATTTTATTTACTGATTAACAAAATAAAGATTTTCTTAGCATCCTTTACAGTTTCTTCTACACAAATTGTGGCCTAAACCATATAATAATGTATTTGTTAGGGATCCGTGCTGACGAGCACTGCATAGACAATTTTTTGACCAGTGCGCATTGCACGGATCCGTGACACATGTCAAAATTGACATCTGAGTAATAATTTTACATCCCTTAATCCAAAAAAGACTTTTTTAATAACTTTTTTTTACAAAAACAAATAGCCACTTCTGGGCATGTCTTAAATCAAAATGTAGCAGTGAAAGGGTTAAAAAAGGTATTACACTTTTTAAAATAAGTGAAACAAATGTGTCTCTTGTATTACTTACTTGCCAATCTGGACATAATCCAGGAGCTACAGCATCAACCAAAGCACCGACTGCTTTTCCACTGTTCCAGTCTGTTGTGAAGTTTTTTATAGGTAAATCTGGAAGCTTTGTTTGAATCCAGTTCATCAGCCTATAAAGTAATAAAATCAATCAATTTACTTCCTACACACTTTTGACTACAAAACCCGAAATAATAAACTACAATGACGTAAATACAAAAGAAGACCAAGAACACTTTCCCAGATCAAGTAACAATATCCTTTGACATTTATTTTAACACCTATAAATTATGAAAGACTTAAAATATATTTTTGTAGTTGCCAGTCTCTACAAAGCACAACTGTTCAATAATCAAACCATGTCCAGTTTACATATGTACGATATACTTCAGTATACATTATATATATATATATATATATATATATATATATATATATATATATATATATATATATATATATAAATATTATATAATACGTAATTTTTACGTATATATTCTACAATTTTGAAGATATATTGTAAAAGGTACGTTTTAATGCGAAAAGAAATGAAACTTTAAAATTTTCCCCCAAATGGAACACTAAACCTAAAATATGTTCTATCTTGTGTTATTGTTACATTATTAAAAGTATTAGTTTGTAGGAGTAGATATTTAACTTGTTCTATTTCTTCTTACTACCAATTTAATCATTCCGCCATGTGTAACTAATGTGCCCATTGCAGATGTTTCCTTTTATGTCATTCCTTTATCAACCAATCCTCAACATACACTGTTTACATTGTGTACTATAAAACAATTTAAACTAATTTAAACAGACAAACTATTAGTTGGTGTTCGACCTATGTTGGTTAATCATTTGTTAGTCTGTTTTTTGTGCTGCAAAAAAGTGGATTTTAACCAGTCCGTATTTTCTCTATTCTATAGATATCGTTAATAAAATCAGCAAGTATTAGAATGTGTCTTTATTTAGTAGTATAAGAGTAATATCCCGTTTTGTAATCTTGGACCTACCGGGTGTGCCAAAAGAAGCGGTAAGATCAAATATTATGCGAAATTCAAATCGGATCGAAAAACATAAAAAACTGTATCCACCTATAGGGGTTTAACTTCCCCCATTTTTTATTGCAGTTTTGGATTCCTCATGATAAAATAAGCAAATTTTATTTGAAACACTTTTGTCGAATTGGTAACAGATGACGATATCCCAGAATAAACGATTTATACTGATCCCTGGATATTATATTGCTTAGTTATTAAGTTATTAATTTTTGTATTTTGGGGACGATTTTCGAAGTGAAAATCGAAACGTCAATAAAGATCTCAAAGTTGAACCCCCCCTCCCTATCCCCAGGAAGTATTGGTGAGGGGTTGTATTTGTTGTCATTGGATAGATTTTTGAAAAATAGTAAACACCTGTTTTAGTTTTTAATCTAACAGTGTATTTCTCGAAATATTAAACTGTTTCCATAATTTTCTTAGGACAGATAAATCATATTTTCCGAATATCTTATCAATCAACAATTCGAAAAAATGTCTCGAATAAAAGTTACTTATCTTTGCATAAGAAATACACATTCTGCGATAAAAAATAGGTGTTTCCATTTAAGATTTTATAGCTAACCCCTGCCCCACCCCCGGGTGAGGTGTGCGGGATTCAGTTTACTGTTATTCGATAGATTTTTTAAAAATATTGGAAGTTTTCAGTTTTTCGATTTAATATAAATTTTTTCTGGGGCTATATCTAAATCTATTAAAATAAATCTTGTTCCATATGTTCAAGTCTTTTGTAATTGCTTCTCGTTCTCAGCCAGAATTACTATATCATATGTACACAAAAGTGTGAACATCTTTACGATATGTAACAATAAAACACTGAAAACTTTGTTTTCAATCTTCCACAAAATTTATTTTAAATCTTATCACTACAGCTGTTTCGGCTGATAGCCTTTCTCAAGTGATCTATTTTGGCTTGGGTTTAGAAATTTATAGTCTCTAATGAAATAGGTTGAGGAGGGGAGAACTGTTTGTCTCAAGTTGGTCATTCAGAATTATATCTGTGTTTTTTAATTTGTTAATTTCCATAGATTCTAACAAATATAGCTTAAGGCCTTTATTTTGAATGTGAAGAATTTTAAATTTGTCATTAAAAGAATGATTATGATCATCTAGAAGGTGAAGTGCCTATGTCAAATCTGTTTTTCTATTCTATGTTCTGCTACTCGTTTATCAAAGTTTCTACCAGTTTGACCGATGTAAGTTTTTGGGCAGTCGCCACATTGAAGTTTGTACACACCACTATTTAAGTGTTTTTTATTTTGGCTCTTGTTATTTTTAATATATTTGCCTAGGTTGTTATTTGTTCGGAAAGCTGGTGTTATTCCTTTCTTTTTATGTGTTTGGCAATTTTTGTTGTTATTTTGCCTGTATATGTAATCGAGCAGAAGGTACTGGGTTTTTTCTCTGGTGGTGGAAATACTAATTTCAGGGCTTTCTTGTGTAGTTTTTGATTTAACATTTTATTAATTGTTTGTTCGTTGTATCCGTTGTTTACTGCTATTTGCCTTCTTCTTAACATGCCATACACCAAAGTGCGTAGGCGACTATCTCATTACTAGAATTCTGTTCTTGGCGGCGTGACACAGCTCACCTGTATTGTGTATTCCTGTCCATTCTTTAATATTCCTTAACCAGGACAATTGTTTGCGGCCGGCTCCTCTCCTACCTTCGATCTTCCCTTGTAGGATTAACTGTGGTATTTCATATTTTGCTCCTCTCAATATGTGCCCAAGGTAACCAATCTTGCGTTTTTTAATTAATTCAAAGAGTTCTCTTTCCACGCCGGCTCTATTAAGGACGTCATCGTTTCGAACTCTATCCACCCAAGGTATGCGCATCATTCTTCTCAATGACCACATTTCAAATGCTTCAAGTTTGTTGATAGATGTTTTTTTTCAAAGTCCACGTTTCCATGCCATAAAGCAAGATGGACCATATGTAGCACTTGACCATTCTGTAGCGTATTTCGAAGTTTAGGTGTTGATTACATAGAAGCGGTCTGAATTTCACAAAAGCTTGTCTTGCCATTTGTATTCGGGTTTTTATCTCGTGTTGTGGATCCGATTGGTCATTGATTGTGGTGCCAAGGTATTTAAAAGTTTTCACGCGATTTATACGATTGTCACCTATGCATAATATCGGGTTTTCTGGAGGGTTTCTGCTAATGACCATATATTTCGTTTTCAAAATGTTGATTTTGAGGCCATATTTTTTACCTATGCTATTCACCCTATCAAGTAATAACTGCTGATCTTCCAAATTATCAGTTATAATCACTGTGTCGTCCGCATAGCGTAGGTTGCTAATTGGTATGCCGTTCACCTTAATGCCTAATTCCGTATCTTCTAATGCTTCTGCAAATATATTTTCAACATATAAATTAAAAAGCATCGGAGAGAGTATGCAGCCTTGGCGGACACCTTTCCGGATTTCCGGCTATTTGCCTAATTATATTTAATTCTGTCTTAAAGTTGTCTTTTGACATCGGAATTTCTGTTAATCTATGTAACATACGATGATAAGCTATGTTTATGTTGTGTTGGATGGGGTGATGAATTGTGTATAGTCGTGTCAGTATGGGTAGGTTTGTGAAATATGGAGAAGTCATGTTTGTTTTAAAGTCTGCTAATTTTTAAATCTAAAAAATGTATGCATTGATTGTGTTCTGTTTGTATTGTAAATTCAATATGACTATGAAGTGAATTAATATACGATAAAAATTGGTCCAGTTACCCGTTAGTTCCTGTAAAACATACCATTACGTCGTCTACGTATCTCCACCAATAGAAAAACTGTTTGAATACGGGATGTTTTGAAATCTTTGTTTCTAGATGATCCGAAAAGATGATTTCAAAACATCCCGTATTCCAAAATAAAATCCCGAGCCAAAATAAAAAACACTTAAATAGTGGTGTGTACAAACTTCAATGTGGCGACTGACCAAAAACTTACATCGGTCAAACTGGTAGAAACTTTGATAAACGAATACCAGAACATAAAAGGGCTTTCAATAATAGAAAAAGAGATTTGACATACGCACTTCACCTTCTAGATCATAATCATTCTTTTAATGACAAATTTAAAATTCTTCACAATTAAAATAAAGGCCTTAAGCTATCTTTGTTAGAATCTATGGAAATCAACAAATTAAAAAACACAGATATAATTCTGAATGACCAACTTGAGACAAACAGTTCTCTCCTCCTCAACCAATTTCATTAGAGACTATAAATTTGTAAACCCAAGCCAAAAATAGATCACTTGAGAAAGGCTATCAGCCGAAACAGCTGTAGTGATAAGATTTAAAATAAATTTTGTGGAAGTTTGAAAACAAAGTTTTCAGTGTTTTATTGTTACATAAAATGAATTTCCATCAAGTAACGGTCGAATCCATCAATCTTTACGATAATAAACTCCGCACAGCAATAGCATTACAGTAGGCGCCAGTTACGAATATCCAGCCCAGCGCAAATCCTTATCTTCGTACCGATTCGATCCGAGCGCCGTGTTTACATATTTATCCACGCTGTCAGTAACGCAGCGGAAGCCATTCGGTGTCATTATACCCAATTATTTAAAAATCATAATTACGCCACTGTACACTTTTTCGGATACAGTCAGCACTCGCACATGCGCGAGGTTGGATCTTCCTATGTGGCGTTTATAGTAGGTACCAACGGGTGAAGATAGCACCCAGCTCCCTATACATTAGTTTCTCAATCGTTCTCCCAATAAACATTGATGAATCTTCCCCCCTGGATAGTAAAATCACCGGAGTTTGTATCTTTTCTTACTTAATGCGGTAAACGGAATACTCCTCCTCCTAAGTCCTAATCCCTTTTGGTATTTAGTGACACCATCAGGATTGACAGTGATGACAGTTTTTTCACGATTTCCCTCCATCCTTACCTGTCCTGGGGTAGTTGTTCGGCTTCATGTAACCCTTGGTTAATCAATATTTTTATTTGATCTACCCAACGGCTTGCAGATCTTCCCCTAGGTCTCTTTACTTCAACTCTACCCTCGACTATTAGTTTTTCCATCGTACCTGTTCTTTTAGCAATGTGTTCCAA